GCAACTCCACTACCGCCACTGGGATTGCTTGCTTGTTCTCCATTCGGCTCGTCATCTGGACAAAAAAAAACGATGTAAACCTTTGAAGATAATTAAATAAACATTCAACGCACAGGTTTGTCGAGGCATTCTCTGTATCTGTTCTCCTTCGCTTATCAAATCTTTCCACATGATGTCTGTCATCTCGTTGTAAACTTGGCGGGTTGCAAGTAGCTCCTCTTCGATACTGTTCATGATTGCAAAGAGCACTGGCATGGATATCACCTTCAAGACTGTGAATTAAGGATCTCTAAATCATGACAAAATATGACAAACCAAGCCGAGAAAGGCACATCCTGCCAAAAGTGCAGCGATGTTCGCGGAAGCAGTCAGTCCAAAAGAGGAAGGATTTCCCATCTAGAAAAAAATGTCTGACGATTGTTAAAATTTTCAAACTAAACAAACGAAGATGTTGTAGTGTTATGAGCCTTTCGTTCGAGTTTATATAAGCATTACGATATAATGGAATTATATCTTCAAGAAGATCTAAGTTTGAACTGGTTGTTCACACGCCTTAATTGCCATTAAACCATCAATCATCCAACACTGGTCTTCGCTTGAGGAAATAATAATTTAATCCCTCTGGATTAAAGATGTAATCAGATTAAATGACATGAATGATTAAATGTTTCTAGTTTTGTTCTCTGGATAGTCATGACTAAAACATCTGGAAAAGTTGAATGTTTCTGAAAGTAGAAACATTTTGCATCATTCACTCATATTGGTTATATGCAGAAGTTGAATAAAGTGTTAGCTAACTACCACTTCTTATTCAAAGTAGTACTTAATATGGTCTTCGAGATTAAGCATTTGTTGATGCCACATGCTTTGGACTACCGACCTTCTATTTGTTCATTAATGTGAGAATTTCTGCTAATTTTAAGTAAAGATGTAGAATTAGTGTATATCATTTGTGAAAGTGTTCATGATTTTAAAATTGCTAAGCTATATCCATAGGTGTTGGTGCAACTGTATCCTTAGCAGACAAGAGGGTTAAATATATGTATCTTACCCTCGTTCAGAGCTCTCATTTTGACAACTGCACTAAGCCGATAAGACATCATCAGATACGAATGAATACAGTTTTTAGTGTTTGCATACTAATATGAAGCTCCAGCTGGTTATGCAAAAAATAACGCCTCTTTTTGGATTAT